GCCCTATATTGCAATATTTGTACTTTTCCATGTTGAAACCTCGATATACAATAAATTATATTAACAAACTTCGATTCTCGATTCTCTTTTCAACCAGTCTTCGTTTTCTTCCTAACCTTTCTTACCAACTACGTTATTAGTAATGTTATTGCAAGTAAAAATTGATTGTAAGTATCAATTAAATATAACAGGGATAATGAGGATAGCAGCCGTACCGACGAGAGACGAGAAAACGAATAGCGGTAGACAAGGATAGCACTAGGGTAACGAGTTAGACGACAAGGACAGTACAATTTCAAAACAAAACTAACACCTGTAACGTCCAGACACCCCGACTAAAGGATAAGATAACGACGAAGCATCGATGAGCCATTACTAACAATCAACTAAACTATAGACACCCTCGATAACAAATGACTGTACAACAACCCCACTACCTCACCGCCTCACTATGACATGTATAAAACCAACCGAAACTAAGAATAAAAGTTAGAATTGCTGTCATCGTGAACGTGCTCGCATCTTTCTTATTTTCAAACCCTTCCGAGCGCGTATTCTTCAAGCAATCGAGCATCCACGGACCTCGCTCGCACCTTTCACCGTAAAACGCGGCATCTCGCGTTTGGTGACGCGAACTACGATTTTCAATAGGAACACAGAATGTGAACAGAGGTATTAGACAAGGAAAGCACTAGTGTGCGAGAAGGACAGAGAGAAAACGTTTCCTATTGGTCCGCGGGCCGCCATGTTCCGCCTCTCGGGCCCTGAATCAAGTTGGCCGGTGAAAAATCGTTAATAACTCAATAATTACGATGATTTTGTGAACTTTTAGAATTGAAGAATGTAGTATGAACCTCTAGCAACTTTCTCATATAGATTTTAATGCTCTAAACCCTTTCAATAATTAGATATTAATAACTGTCGTGCCAATTGTCGGGAACGATGCGGCAGTCCCTTACGGTTTTTCGTTAATATCATCGTTCAGTATCAATTTCTTGTACAATCTTCATATGCATCTAAAAGGGAGCATCTTTAGCTACATTCTTTTATAACTTTCATTAACATATACGTTGTAGTTTGTCAGTTATTGAAGATTATTCGAGAGAATGGTACGTTCGTCGAATTCAATCGTAACTCATTTTCGTTATTTCAATAGATATGCGTGATAAATTGTGCACTTTTAAGCATGTAGAATATAGAATAGACTTTTATTTACATTCTTCAATCATTTTGGTAACCGTGAGTGAGGTGGTTTATTAGATATTAGCAATTGTTTATAACATTCGAGTGTACTCGAGTACGATGAATAGGGGACGCTCTCATATAATGTTTAATAACTCTTGAACTAAACCGAATATGTTAATAAAAATTATATGAGAATCTAGCTAAGAATGTTGCCTTTCAGATGCATGTAGTTAGTTGCATGGGAATTTAGTGGAAAGCTATCAAATTACTGAAAAACCGTAAAGGTACGCGGTATCGTTCCCGACATCACCTGCTAAAATTGTTAATAACTAATTATTGAACGGGTCTAGTGCACTAAAAGGTGTATGTGAAAGTTGCTGAAGGTCCACACTTCATTCTTCAATTCTAAAAGTTCACAGAATCGTCGTAATTATTGAGTTATTAATGATTTTTCACTGGCCGACATGACTTGGGGCCCGAGAGGCAGACATGGCGGCCCGCGGACCAATAGGAAACGTTTTCTCTCTGTCCTTGTCGCACACTAGTGCTTTCCTTGTCTAATACCTCTGTTCACATTCTGTGTTCCTATTAAAAAGTCTTAGTTCGTGTCACCAAACACGAGATGGAGTTAGTTTCGTTTTAAAATTTTCTGTCCTTATCTCCCCGCTATTCGTTTCCTTATCTCTCTACAGTATTGCTATCCCCGTTATCTCTAGCTTATTTAATTGATGTTTATAATCTATTTTTAATTGCAGTAACATTACTAGTAATATAGATAGTAAAATACAATTTCTGGGTTATTTTCAAGTACTTTAATTATAGAATAATTTCTGTTTCTTATGAAATAATAATTTAGATGGTAGTTTATAATTATTAGAAGTATTAAATAAATGTGTTGCAGGATTTAACACAATAAAACAACGTAGTTTATTAATTTCGCAATGAATTAACATTTATTCGTGAGTCAAAGTACAATGGTTGAATGTTTTGGTATTCTTTGTTTGTAATTCATAAATTAATAGAGCACTTAATAAAAAAGGATTCTGAAAAGGAGTATACAGTATGGCAGCATATTTTTAGAATGACAGTTTTTCAAACAGTAGAGAGATTCTTTCTTTCATTGGAATGGAAAGTTTAATTGGTTCTGTACAAAACTAATATTGAAATAGAATAGTAGTAATATCTAAACAAATAAAAATTAGATGTATTTAGAACAGATTTACTATCGTACGTTGATTAGCTTTTTATAGTTTTTTATTTTTTGTGGGAAGGTGGTTTCTTTGGAGCGAATTCTAAACCTCTTATGTAGGTCTTCTTGATTTGGTATTTTTCTGAAAATTTCAAATTTATTGAAATCAAATGCATACATTTTTATCCCGCACAAAACGTTAATCTACTTACCGGTAAGTAATTTGTACACGTATAAGATTTGATTTCCTTGAACAAGAACGCTAGGAGTTTTCTTTCCTGGTTCGTCCGTAATCGTTGCACTTGCCCCAATACTTTGACATTCCTTGCTGAACTCTTTGGAATTTATACCAAATGTTTCCAAGTTATTCACTAACGTTACCTGTAATACACACACACTAGATGAGTTATGAGTTTTCCACAACTTTGTCTGTTTTTTAACTTTGGCAATCGATCTCTGTACCTTTTTACCACCGGATCGAACAGTCACTCTCATATCGATAGGCTCCAATTTGCCAGTGTGTAACAATTTGTTTCCCGCTAACATGACTTCGTGCATATGCGTCATACGTCCAATGAACTTGTTTATTCCATCCTCCATCGTTAGAGTTTCCTGATTCACTTTGGTTTTCATAATACCTGCTAGTCGCGGGTTCAATTTCAGAATTCTAAAAATTAAAGGCATATTAAATAATTACGTAAAATAATGATCGAACATATTCGATCGAAGAATGCTCACTTTCCGTCTTGAAGATTCTCTGCTTTCACGTATTCAGTAAAACATTTTCTGATCTCAGCTCTTTTCATTACGTCCCCTTTTCTGCAATCATCGTATGGGAGTAAAATGTACATAATTCGTATCATATAATACAGCATAATGGTATATGATGTAACAGTTGTCAACTTCTGCTCTGCACAGAAAATCATTCTCTTTGCAATTATTGTATCGCGGTAATATGATACATCCCGAGGGTGGCATTGTATACTCACTCATAGCCGAATTTCGACAGTACTGGCACTACGTCGGCAGTCACCTTATAACATTCTGAAACAACTGCCGCATTCGAAACAACTGGCTTCTGGATCGGTGTAGGTTCTTCTAAAATGACTAGTTGTTTTAAAAGTGGATGATCAAACTGTAAGAAAATGTATTACAATTTATCAATGATCCCTTGTTACACGATTCAATTTAAAAATGCAAATCTTACCTTAATAGATAATATACTCTCAACACCTTTCGTAACAGAAGTATTAATAACACCTTTCGCTTTCATTTCCGCCAGAAAAACGGATAACTTTTTATACCGAGATTTTTTTATATCTACGTTTCTATCTGGTGGACATGCCGCTAGTAGATGATTTTTAAAGAAATTGGACGTCAATATCGGCAGATCAGTGACCTTTATCGATTTTTTGCAAGCTTTGAAGAAACAATACTCCAACAAGTTATCCATTTCTTTTACTGGATCTACAACTACTTCTGGTTCCTCAGTAATTATATCTTCTGCCTCACCAGACTCTCCTACTTTGTTCTCTTCCACAGTTTCCTGCATAGAATAATTATTAATACTTTCTTGATAATAAGATTATCAAATGATTCATACAAATTATGTTGTAAATTACCTCACAAGGTGATTCAGATTCTGACACCCTATCATTATCCACTTCTAAGTCATTCATTGCTTCAACAACTGACTCATCATTATTATCATTGACCTGTTCTGTAATTTCATTTACATGTTCTATCTTCTTATCTGTATCAGCATTTGGTGGTCCTAGATTTGGTCTCAAGGGAGGCTTTCCCAATTGACAAAATGTATCATTTATTACATGCAGAATTTCTACACACTTTCCATAACCCCCAGACATGTACATATCTTCGCTAGAAAGTGCAGTCAGACCAACAGCAACCGGTGCCTATACAAGGAAACAATATAATTATACTCTTTTACAATAAATTATAGTAAAAAAAAAAAATATTAATACACACCTTATTCTCTTCAGTATTCACACAAACAGGTGTACCCTTTTGCAATTTTCCAAAAGAGTACAATGTTACAGGCTCTTTAATATTGACCCCAGGCAACATTAAATCTGCACCACTTGACAATTTTGATACAACTGGGGTATGTGTTGTGAAAGACCTTAATAAATTTGGATGATGCCACAAAGTGTATATGGTGGGCAATAATGCTAGACGCAAAGATTCAATTTGGAAAAACATAGGTGTTTTGGCAACACAATACACTTTTCCTGAAAGGCCATTATGTGTCACAATTTTCATAATGCTTATTGCCTCTTTTTTAGGAATTAACAATTGCGTCTCTTCGTCCGTCAATGTTGGATACGCCGCTAAAATTTCTTCGCATAACTTCTTCCTGATTAAAAACAATACGGAGTTCATAAATATCCTCCTTGATCAATATAAATTAAATTATACCAACCTTTCCGTCCCCTTCAGTTGGTTGTTCGACTTCACTTTAAACGGTTTGATGAACATTTTGACTTTGCAAGAATTTCAAAAAAATTTATTCGACAAGACAACCCCCAACGAAATCACACAGCCAAAAATGCAGCGCTGCTTATCGCAAGATACAGCTGATTCTCAGGTTGTCCAACCCTTTACCTGTCTGTTTAATTGGTGTAGTTCTAAGCGAGGAAACCAAAGCCTCTTACGACGCAAATATTCCTTATGAAACATGCGTACAATCGTGGATCAATAGATCGCAAAAATCAGCAATCAATGTGAAAAATGTTATAGCAATAAAGCTGGAATTGATAAAACAATTAACGATGAGTTTTTTTTTTTCTAATTCTTTAAAGGCTTACTTCAAAAAGTGTACTAACACTACCAACTTTCCACTGACGGTTGGTAGCTGCCAAACACTTGAATCAACTTTACAACTCAATTAATTGAACTCCGCCTAAATATGGAATGTATACATACATACATAGATATGTATATATATATATACTCTATATATACATACGTAGATAGTCGAGCATTTATCTAGATATTCATCTATAGTTTCTGAATTGACTGTCAAAGGAACTTTAAGCTTAAAAGACATTGTGCACCCCGCGCACGATAATAATGTTAGTTGTATTGTGTAGAGTGAACTGTGTCCTCTTACGGCACGTGGGAAAAATACGATCAAATGTACTGTGCGTTCTGTAGGTCACTATAACCTCAAAACGTTGCATTATGCATAATCAATCTGTGAGAAGTAGCCTTTGAACGTAGTGTAGCTTTAAGATATTATCACCGAATCCTTATTTACGTTTGCCACTGTCAAAATGGCAATTATGAAAATATTGTTACGGCCAAACATCACCAGGCTCACGGGAGTCAGAGTGAGTTACATTTCATACATCATTGTTATGTTCGATTTTAGTTTCTGCATTTCGAGGTGAATCCATCATACATATCTTCTTTTGTTTATGACACAGATCAGTTGACCTACATTTTCAGATCTGATGCAAATTCATTGAATACAAGATAACAATTCATTCATTCATATTAATCGATTTTAAGATGAAAATTCTAGTTACCGTTGGGTGTAACTTTTCTTCGACTTTTTCGTTTCTTTTTTTTTTTCTTCATATTTTTTAAATAAGACAAAAATAAAATTTTTTAAGTAAAAATTTGTAGTTCCGTGTGAGCTGTGCAACGGAGAATTAGGAAGTTGAATAAGATTAATGATGCAAAATTTGTCAGGCACTACAGTATGCTTCAGTATAAAAATATACTGCATAGCATTCATGAGAGAACAAGTATATTTTTATATCCTGCTTCAAGGTCCTTGTAGCTGTTTTTGCTCCAAAAATATGAACTGTAGAATACCTTATGAAACATGTGAAGTGCATTCATTCTAGTTATAACATATATATTTGAGAATTGTTTTAAGTGCATTGGCAGACATAAATAAAATATAAGTATTTTAAAATATGTACTGATATTTATTTCTCTTTATTTTTAGCACCTGAGTATGAAACCAAAATTTGGTTTACTTTTTGACATTGATGGTGTAATAGTACGTGGCAAAAATGTCTTACCACCCATACCAGAGGCTTTTAAGCAACTTCAAGGAAAAGATGGCAAATTTCGTGTACCAACTGTATTTGTTACCAACAGTGGTAATGCTCTGCGTAGTCAAAAGGCAGCAGATTTGTCTAAATGGCTAGGATTTGAAGTGAAAGAGTCACAAGTTATCATGGCTCACTCACCATTAAAACTATTCCAAAACTTTCACAATAAACAAGTGCTGATATCTGGACAAGGTCCAATCAAAGAAATAGCTAGAGAATTGGGTTTCCATAAAATAACAACTATCCAAGAATTAGTTAAAAATTTCCCATCTTTGGACTATGTAAATATGGAGAAAAGAAATTCAGTATGTGGACCTGTAGATCCAAATTTCCCTGCAATAGAAGGCATTGTGTTATTTAGTGAACCAATTTCTTGGGAGACACCATTACAATTGATGGTGGATCTTTTAATGAGTAATGGCATGCCAGCTGGTTTACCTGATGAGATTCCTTATCCACATATTCCAGTTTTGGCATGTAATATGGATTTATTGTGGGTATCAGAAGCACCAATTCCTAGATATGGTCATGGTGCTTTTCTATTGTGTCTAGAATCCCTGTACAAGAAAATTACTGGCAAGGATTTGATGTATTCTGCTCTAGTCGGAAAACCTAGTGAAGTTACATATTATCATGCAAATTATATGCTCTGTGAGCATGCTAAAAGTATTGGAATAAATCATAATGTTGATACAATATATGCTATTGGGTAATTAGTTCCTTGAGTACATTAAAGAAATTAACAGGGTATTAAAAATTCAAATGAATACTAAATTCAATATATATATGTTGCAGAGATAACATCAACACTGATATTTTTGGTGCAAATTTGTATGATAAATATTTGTCATACTGCACAAAGGAGGAAGTATTAAAGTCTGACAAACTGAAGAAACTGCTTAGCAAATCAGATATCAAACCGCCGAGCGCGAAAGCTTGTATCAGTATTTTAGTCGAAACTGGTGTCCATAAACGGGATTCGAATTTTATCGTGGAACACAATCCCAGAGACTTTTTACCAGTCGAAGAAGGACTATGCAAGCCTGCGTTTGTAGTGGAACACGTTGGCGAAGCTATTAAACTCGTGTTTAAAGAGGAAAAATTCGACTGAACTAAACACATCTAAAATGTATATTCAGACTTGGAGTGTTCGCAACATAATATCGGCTAAAGAGAAAAAAAAGAGAACGTAAGAAATTAGATTATAACTTTGTTAATGTAAGTATTATGTTAATTTCATTAGGAAACGTTGATCATTTTTGAAAGCAGGATCAAGAAAAAGAGGAAGGCTGTAACAAATTGCATAGGCACGATATTTTTTTTTTGCTTTTTATCTTTTTAAATCATTTTCGATATTTTTATCTGCCATTTTATTAAAAAGAAAAGAAGGCAAATTGCGTCTATTGTAATCGGGCGTTAATCGACTAAAGAGAGTTAATTATTTATCATTGCGAACCAATGATATTCGCAAAGAGTACAACAATGATGTATACCAGTGATACTGGTTAGAGCTGATGTGGTCTTTCAATCTATACAGATTTTTATGTATATTTAAAGTTCTATAATTTATGTTATATGAGTATAGTATTTAGAAAATTGTTCAAAGATAGCGTTATATGTATATACACGCATACATCGTGAAAAAAAGATATGTGTATATATATACACTCATTACTTATATATACATAGACAATTTTTAGTTTGACATTTAATACATTATAGTTGTTTTGCTACTGATGATTAAATTGTAACGTCTCGTTCATATCGTTCCCTAATGTTTAATTTTACCATACTGTGACTGTAAATCATACTCACTCCGAACAGTCGAATGCATAGTCCTAATTGCATACAAAACGAAGCCCCGACGCGTATCTTAGAATTAATTGAAACCAATACGAGCTTTACACGACATATTGTCGTTTTAGTCGAGGAATGAAAATTGTAATCTAGCGACACACGACATATTAACATGTAATTTAACACCGTTTCCGTTTAGCGTTTACCGCTTTGTATATCGAATCACGTCTAGTCCCACGAAACAACATCGTACGTAACCGTAGCAGTAGCGATCTGTAATATCTTGTCAGTGTGTGAAAGGTGTAGAAGCTGCTGGAGTAGCTTTCTTCATGCGAACCCCACTGTGTAATTTAATAGTTTAAAAGACGAAAAGAAAAAAATTGTGAATCATGAACGTTTAATACTCAATGTGCAACAACAAACGGACTGCAATAATATATGTATGTATATCGTAAAACGCACATTGTACAACACAGTACTCGGTCCAGTTGATCGTAGTTGGCGCGGATGCAAATGCACACAGTGAAAGAAAACAGGAAAACGAAGAAAAACGAACAAAATATATCGAGACGTCTGCAAAAATGAAGACTGACCACCCACATAGAATCAAAACGACGATGGCCGCTTGTCGATACCGGTCCATAATTTGTTTTAATGTTAACGAATTAAACAATGAAAGAAGAGAAGGAAACGGGAAATCGTTGTTTCTCGTGGCAGAGTTAACAGGAAGATTATCCGAAGAAGGAGCACTCTGCAAAATTAACGATGCCGTAGCTAACGAAGGGCAGTTATGCGCAATTATACATAAAAAAAAAAAAAAAAAATTATGTAGAGTGTTGCAACATTGAAAGCAATACAGAATGTACATTGTTTCTTTGTTACAATAATTATTTTATAGGAGCCTTTATCCGTAGAAGAACCTGTGACTTTTATAGAACCAATTAGAATCTATTTTAGTATAATTCCAAGCTGGTTCATTCTATCCCAAATTCCTTCGCCCTTTTCCTTTATGAAAGCCACAGGATGTATCAGGATATTACATTTTTTTTTCATAGGAAAAAGAATGCATAAAAGACATAAAAATAGTTTAATTAAGCGTATAGTTTAGTTTAGTTCAAAGAATTACGAGAGTATTAACTTAACCTATTTCTTTTCGTTAGCGCGCGTATCGTGAAACGTATATACATACATATTTCCTTTTCTCAAATTTCGAGTAAGCAACGATAACTGATATTTCATTACAGTAAGCAAAAAAGAAGCAATCGTTTCACGAGCGATTAAAGTAATTAATATTCCTTTTAACGATATATTTTCTTACCAAATGGCGGTTTCTATGATTCATCGCGTGTATTAAATTCTCTTAATTAAGAACAAAAACTGAGGAATCTGTACTTACTTCGCTAAAGGTGCATTTTCCTCCTCTGCCTATTGCAACAAGTTGTATTTGTAGAAATTAGACGCAACGAAATATACGATATATTTTTCGTTAACAAAACGTCATCGATCTTATTGCGACTAACGATAACGATCTCACGATGGTATCTGATCGGTACGAAAGCGTTTCCTCCCCAAATGTTACCATTCATCATTTGCACATACGCTTTCTCCGTTGCTTTTCCCACGAAAGTTCGGTATGTAAGTTAGAAAAGAAACGATTCGCCATTCGTAAGTCGAGTTAATGTTTTTAATGAGCCTGCAAAAAATTGACTCGAAAATTAGTAATTGCTCCTGGTCACGGTGGAACGTGCAGGACGTCTGGGTCTCATGACCTGTGAATTAAACCGTCAATCGTTTGATGGAATAATTCAATTAAATATCGGTTCGCCGGTGTCCGCGAGGAATAAATTTATTTCCACGCCGATGGGGTCATTGGGAGTTCATCGTTATGTATTTAAACGCGTACTTTATTAATTAACTAACGACGTACACACAGAAATATTACACGAAAGAAAGAAATTCATTCTTTATTGCGTAATTACGTAAATATTTAAGGATGAAATAATTGTTGAAATATCCATAGAAAAATAACGACAGATAAACTTCCTATGTCCATAGAGTAACTAATTATGGAGAAAACCGGTTTCGAGAAAAATATGCCTGATATGTATTTCAGTGTCGTTTCTAAGATTCGACGGGTGTCATCTTCAGCCTAAAAATACATCTCGCAACTCATTGTGTATGGTGTACATTTAACGAATTAAAGTGGTACGTCTCTGTGTATGTCCTGTGTACACAGTTTCCGGCAGAAGAAGAAATCGACCGAGATTTCTTCGAGATGAATTTTTACTTGGCGCTTCTCGACTGCTAAACGAGCCGCCTCATTGCACGCGGACTTAATTTACGAGTTCATTAATGCCCGAGTTATCGTAATTGACCTTATCGCCATGTTACTAATCAGCATCGTGTTCTCGAATTACGTCAGCTCGTGAACGGAATTGAAAACGTGGCGAAGATGTCTTTTAAATAATACAATCTTCTATGAAAGATTTTATTTTTTCTTCGCATATTAGCAAAGATTGATCGGTGAAAAATTTACGACGAAACTTTAAGATTCCAGATGTGTTAATAAAAGTAACTCGATCGAATGATGAGCGTATTGAGAACTGTTACGTTCACTGGTCTAGTTTACGGAACTGGTTATGGGATTATTAATCATAACTGATATCTGGAATCGTTCGAAGTGTTACACATCTGTTGTCTATTATAAAATCTGAGTAAAAAATTGAAATCGTAATATTCCAATTTCACTGTATCATTTAGGATATTTTTGCAAGACACAAAAATATAATAAATTATCGTAGAATGATAAACGACGATAATGAAAGGTATATTTAGACAAGTCACGAAATACAAGCAATAAATGACAGAAACAGAGTTTATGAAATTGCTAATATGCAACTTCCGCTTAAAGATTTATCGAAATCAATGCGTAACACTTCGCGCATGGCCCGCCCATGAATGACCAAACCGGTTTCTCCATTTCTGTGCTATGTTGCACGGCTGAGGTGCAGCTAGTCTTGGATGTCATTTCTAATTTGAAATTCAGAGCTCGTCTGACCGTGCATAACTTCGAAATATGGGTCAAAGATCACTCTGTCTATTAGAAAGTTTTTGCTTCCTTAAAAGAAAAAACAAAAAAAATGAAAGGAAAAAGGATATCCAAAAAAGAAAAGTAACAAAGTGACAAAAGGCAAGCTTTCATGAAGTTTCTACATTTTTTCTATTTCCCAATCACATCGCTCGTAATGTACAACCACACCACCGTTAATCCATTTGATCGAGTAATTTTTTTTTTTTAGGGAAAGTAAGTTTCCCGAAGGATGCTGCTTCGATTTCATTGGTAATTAAACTCACGAGCAGTACACCCACGTGGTTGCAGGGTCACAGGGGTAATTGACCCGCGAAAGTCTGGTTTCTCACGTCGCCAAAAGTTTCACTGTCACCTTCTTACCATCGATAGACCATTCTAGCGGTGGTCTACCACGATTTCAGACGATTAATCACACGCAATAAACCACTAACAACTGCTCTGACGAAGCATACCGAGAGAAAGCACTCTCTGTTGAATCCTGTGAACCTTATTCTTGTCATTATATTACACGACATATATACAAGACTCCTTTAAACAACCCTTTTCTCGTTCATCTCATCACCCATTCACATTTAAATTAATCACGTATAAATTAATCGGAAATATTCATTCCTAACTCTTAACACTCGTCTAATACATTTGCATCCCTCTTCCTTCTTTTCTTCTCGTAGCATTCCACTGCTCTCTGAATTTGTTCCAGGTATTCTTGAATAGTATCGTCTTGAGAAAATTCTCTGGAGTCTGATCTGGACAAGGATCTCTTCTGTACAAGCGCGGTGAGCATCAAAGTGACTACAGGAAGAGTCATTCCAAGAAGAAACGTCGGTGTCATGATGTTCTTCAGTCCGTGTTTCTTGAATCCTTTGTACAACTCTGCCCAGATACCGCTTCCCTCTTCTTCGTGATGCTTACCGAATTTTCCGTACAAATGAGGCTTAATCTTGCCAGTTTTGGCTATGTAATTATAGTAATGAGGATCGTAGGATTGAGCGTACAGTTGAGAGTAATAAACATCTTTGGTAGGTGGTGGTTGATCTGCTTCAGGGAACCACGCACTTGCGTCCTCGTAACGAACAGGAGGATTATTGATCGCCGGTGGTCCATGATGAAATCCAGGTGGTTTCGTGTAGATCACTTCGATGGGAGGACCTTTTGGCTTGAATGGAACTGCTGTGGGAAAATTTGTTGCGTAATTAATCTACTAGTAATTAGGATGAATTCCTGCTTCGAGTGAAAACAACCAATTACGACACACTCGATAATCAAAGTCTCACGACATTTCTTTAGAAGATGCAACTCTCGATTGCTACACATCTTAACATTGTGATTATCGCGTTCTGTAACGTGAGAACGTAAGAGTGTTCCGAGAGAATTTTCATTCAAAGCTGAAAGATTGCGTTGGAATATTTAATTAAAAAGAATTTTCGACACCGATGAGACTTGATTTTATCTCTGATGATTATCTTAACCCTTTCACTGCGGCAGACTTTCTATCGCGGTTGCAAAATCTTTCGTTTTGGCGTTCGAAAATGTAAATAAAATTTTTTTAAATTAAGGCGGAATTGCGCAGAGGTAAAAAATTAGGGCTTAAATTAAGATGAAAATGTGCCAAAAGGCGCCAAGGGCACAGCACGAGGAAATATTTTCAAAATACTAAATTAGGGATTAGTATAATTCAAATATCTTCAAGGGTCCTGCAGGCACCAACAGCAGTGAAAGAGTTAATTATCCACGGTGCAAAGTCCTGAAATATAAATTCCATTGAAATTTTTCACCTGGAATAGGTGGACCACCGTGAAAACCTGGGTTTCCTCTCGGCTGTATATAGTTAAACGGTTTCCCACGCACTCTTCTCACGCGTTGATACCATCCAGGATAATACACGTCTTTCCTCGGTTGTATCCCATCTGTATACGGCTGGAATAGCTGTTGTTGCTGCATCAGAGGCGTAGCCATAGGGTTCGACACAGTCGAACGAAGATCTACCGGGTTCACAGGTGCATTGTAGGCTGGTTGATTAACGGGGAAAGCCTGAAACGGCTGTCTTTGTTGCATGAGTTGCGCAGTCAAGTGTTGGTTCACAGGTGAAGACACTAGTTGTTGATTAACTCGTTGCACCGGTTGTTGCGTCAATTGTTGCTGATTAACGATCATTCCTGGAACGTTGTCAGGGGTTTCTCTGTTTTGCAAATAATAATCCAACGATAAACGCGATTCTTCTGGTGTTTTCGAGTTTAGAAAACTGTTCAAAGCTAACTCTGCTGAATTCACAGTGGTTGTTGTTCCTTGATTGTAGTTATTCGCAGGCAAGTTTCTAGCTGTATGAACGATCTTCTGTTGTTCGATCGTGTACAGAGGATCGTCTTGATCCACTGGATAAGCATCGATTATAGTTTTTGTAGAATTTACAGGTATAGAGGAGTTATTAACGTTCGAGAGAGTAGGATGAATGTTCTGAGACGATTTTACGAGAATGTTGGTCACGTTCGTCGTGGTTTCCTCTCGTCTTGCGGTTCTCTCAGAGAAGCGTGACTCCTCAGCTGTATACTCGGTGTCCTCCGTCAACGGGTTACCCTCGAAGTTCAATTGACCGTTCGTTAATCCCGCCATGAGGACCAGTAGAACCGTTGCCGCGTTCATGGTTCTGGAAGCAACGAGTAAAACTACTCATTCGTCGGTATCCTAACTTCAGAAGGGAATCTCTTGCATTAACAAATTTCCTTGTTTTTTCTTTTAATAGAATATAACTTATGAATTCTTACAGAAGATTTGTCAATTGATCATTTTAATTTGTACTAGAAATTATGACGAGGAAAGGAAGTTACATCGAAGCGTTCTCTCACGCCGTTCCACTTACATCTCTTCGTCAGTCAGAGAGGAGAAAGAAACGAGCTATGTAACAAGTTCACACGTATGCTCTTACATGCTTAGAATAATCATCGATGAACACCTCTCTATTCCACCATTTACTCCACTTTTCCGAGTAACATTCTTACTTTCATGTGACAAGAATACACAGTATCTGATTGTTTTCTTACTATTCACCTGTTAACTGGGAAAGACGAGTTAACTCGTCGTTGATTGGCCAGCTCTTGGAATATACTGGTACATTTATTCAAGAATTATTCATTTTTAATTGTACTGTTATGTCTATATTAAACAAAAAGTACATTTACATTAGAACCAAGATGAATTAATTGGTTACAATAATTATTCATTTGTAACCCAATGTTTCTTCGTTCAGGAGGAGGAAAATGATGCTTGATTGCAATTTTACATTCTGACGAGGGCAGCAAGAATTAATAAATACCCTAAAGAATATAGCTAGCAAAAAAATATAGATACATGGTAAGTAACTTCCAGGTCGCATAACTTAACTCTCACAGAGTGTTAATAATAAATTAGAAAGATTCAATCTCTGTTCAAAAGATGAACTCAGTTAACAAGTAAACAATTTCACAGAAAAAGAAGAAAAGAAATCGTAGCTGAATGAGAAAAGTCATCCTCGAGAAAGAAGATACTGGATAAACGGACTCGGTGCATTCATGAATCAAGTAGCGTGGGATAAAGACCCGCGTAATACTTTCTTCGGTCAAGGTGAACGCAACCACGCTGGAACACGCCTTCGTTAATCGTTTCCCAATGAAATTACATCCTTTACTACGTTCTTACAACCACATGCTATTATTCGTTTTACGTCCAGCGTCGATGTAGAAAATTCTGTTCCTGAAACATCTCTCACCGCGACCTCATGAATCTTTCATATGCGCAAGAAGATCGTAAATAAATCTACGAAAGATTTCCATTTGAATTTCGCCAGATAATCCGTCGAATTATGAATCGAGACATTACCAGGCACCTGGTAACGCAAATTTTTGTGATCTTAAAACAGACGTATGTAAAAGACGATTCTTTTTTTATCGTGAAGTTGAACGTTCGGTGTAGCATCGTAGGAAGAGAAATGTATCGAAATGACGCGATGGAAAAAGTCGTCCGGAGAGAGTGGCTTTGTTCGAAACTCTGTCCACGCGCACGTTGCTCTTGGTGGAGTTCAGGGTCATCTTATTCCGGCGAAACTATTCGATTTTTCGTAGAAGGCGAGAGAGAAGGATGTATCGCGATGTTCTACATACCGCGATTCAAGTTCAATGATTCATTCTTCGAAACGATGGCTAACTTTATTATACAGTCTATTACAATTGCAAATTTTTATATACACACGCACGCGTTGGTATCGTTTATATTTTTATGATCCTTAATGAGAATTACCGTTCGGGAATACTAAAATTTCGCCATTCACCGGTAAAAGGTTCTCGAACAACGACAGGTCAGAACTTTCTAAAAACCGTTAATCCATTATGAATTCAACGATCACGGTTGAAATTCAAAAAACGCTTCGATTTCCTTCTACCTGAGCAAGGAACGATCGGTTATTGACACCATTCGCGTGTTTTATCGAAAAGCAAACGGAACACTTGAGAAGAGATCTCTCTCTCTCTCTCTCTCTCTCTCTCTCTGTGTTTCCGAGATCGTTCACAGGAACGTAAAGAGAAAAGAAGCGCAAAACTCTTTGTACCGTGAATGATAATTACTCGTAATTCCCGGATGAAAAACGAAATCGAGCCTAGCGTTTAATTACACTCGCCTACTTATCTTAATTGAACTTTTTTCCCCGTAATTACGCGCAAAATCCCTGGAAACACACACGCACCGTGTAAATTGTTCGTTGATTCAACAATACAAAATTACGTTATATACATTTTATCGATTTGTTATATAATTCGTATTCTATCGATGGAAATTGTTAAGTTGAACAGGAAAAAATTGAAAAGAAATTCAACAATTTTACTCACACTGGTGAAAATCGGTAAGAGAACACACGCGAATTCTTCGTCTCGTCACGAATGAATAAACTTCGATCGAACGTCCACGAATTGGCAGACGATCCGCCCGGTATTGGAAACGGCGCGCGAGAAAAGACCATCCATCGGTCCGACTGGAACCAGGAATACTGAAGATCCACGGATCCGATGAGAAAGCCATTCACTTCGTGTACACTCCCTACCTTCCACTCAACCCACTGAAGACCCAGCCCCGCGGTTCTTCCTTACCTGGAACCAAATTACGCGTTTCTTTCTTTCGGCACGTCGACCATTGTAACCCTTTCTTTCCACGACGACCTATGTTACTTTTATCGTCGACGATAAAATTCGAGGAAGAGAAAGTGAAATGCAAGTGAAAATCGAGAGAAGAATTTAGAGTGTTTCACTTGGAGTCGAGGAAGATACGGTTTTAGGAATTCTAGATCGTTTCTTTCTTCTGGTAGCGACTTTAATTAGAAATAGATGAAAAACTATCGAGTATCTGCGTTTGTAATGCTGTATTTTCGTAAACAAGATGACCAAATCTAGAAGTATACAAAGTTTCATCTAAATCGGTGAACCGAAGGTCTTGCGCTCTCCTTGTTAGTTTCATTCATGAATGAAAATGTGTTTATTTGTTTCGAAGAATAGCGCAGAAGTATAGTCGGTGGACGAATGTATAGTTCGAAGATTTAATTTACGATCTCGCTACGCAGTGGCTCGTGTTATACTAGAATGATAACTGAGAAATTAAGAAGAACGACGATGGTGTCAGAATCACTTAAAATTAATTTAACAAAACTTTGCACCGCTTTAACAATCGAATGTTACAGTTGTCGAGGCACAATGGCTCGAAGCAATAGCACGTCGTGCGGTCTAGTTAACGAAGGATCATAGAATCCCTGGGAAGCGTCGATTCTTCGCCAATTACTGCTTGTAAATCACTTTTTCCTCGCTCGTTCGACCATGAACGCGTCACTTAAGTCTCGGAATAACTGTGTACCGCATAGAACAATATCAATGTTACGGGCTGTTGCGAACATTCCTCACGTGAGAATTAATAAGTCGCAACTGATGCACCATTTTCATCGATCTTGTTTCCTCGATCCGTTCGAACGATCGTGAACCAGGCTTCGAAAAATCAACATTGCTACCGTAGCGGAATCATAAGTAAAACGTTCCTGTATGTCCCTATTTGCATAGCAAGTTTCTCTTTTACCTAATTCACGGCGAGAACTTTCGAAGAAAAGCGCTAATTAATGGAATATCTCGGTCAACCGGTTAGAGTCTATATCACGATGCTCGATGATTCGCGCGTTGCACCGTGATGCGAGGTTGATCATCGAGCTATTTCTGCTGTAACCAGGAGCAAATCGAACGGTAGTTTAAGCATTTTGTTTGCACTGCCTTTCGAACGATCAGTCGCCGCGACGACATTGTTGATGAGGCTCACTGATTGACACGAATCGCGTAGATGGAACAACCGGTGAGCCACTTACCTGATTCAACGAGAATCACTCTCTGTTTACGGATCATGCTTATGCTACGTTATTAGGTAGACGTGGATTTTTCGATTCTACGGTGTATTCGCAACGATTGATTAACGAAAATTGCTTTTCGTTGGTAGATCGTGGTTAATAATAGAAATTTTGGAAAAAGGAAGGGGAGATTAAAAGTTAGGGTGTAAAGAAATTATATCAAAGTAATCTCAACGATAGAAATTTTGGAAAAGGAGAAAGGAGATTAAAAGCTAGTATGCAGAGAAATTATATCAGCGCAATCTTAATAATAAAAATTTTTGAAAATAGAAATAGGAAGCTAGCGTGCAAAGAAACTATATGAAAGTAATCTGAATGATAGAAATTTTGGAAAAAGGAAAAGATGACTAAAAGCTAGTATGCAGAGAAATTATATCAGCGCAATCTTAATAATAGAAATTTTCGAAAATAGAAAAAAAAGCTACAGTGCAAAGAAACTATATCAGCGCAATCTGAATGATAGAAATTTTGGAAAAAGGAAAAGATGACTAAAAGCTAGTATGTAGAGAAATTGTATCAGCGCAATCTTAATAATAGAAATTTTCGAAAATAGAAAAAAAAGCTACAGTGCAAAGAAATTATGATCAGTGTAATTTCAAGAATAGCAATTTTCTAAAAAATAAAAGAAGGAGATTAGAAGCAACTGTAAAAAAAAATTGTATCAGCGAAATTTTAAAGAATAGAAATTTTCGAAAATAGAAAGAAGAAGCTAGCGTGCGAAGAAATTATACGAGAGTAATCTCAATGATAGAAATTTTCGAAAAAATAAAAGAAGAAAATTAGGAGCAACGGTACAAAAAAAATTGTATCAGCGAAATTTCAAAGAATAGAAATTTTCGAAAATAGAAAGAAGATGCTAGCGTGCGAAGAAATAATAAGGTTCGTCTGATAGCCAGTTAGATTCCGTTAGTTAATTCCCTTTCCCGATGCTCACGCGACGTGGTCCACAATTATGCTAATCGTCCCGTATAAATCACACCTCTCCTCGAGCACCAACCAGATCAGATAATCCGAAGATGAATGCAGAAAGCTCTCTTCTCTGCTCTACCAAGCATCTCAAACTACATAAACAAGTATACCATTCTTTGTACAAAATGTAATTGTACACGAGGCTCATTCAACAAGTAAAGAAAGAAACTGGCTGTTGTTTTAATATCGTTCATTCAACGAATCTCACAGTTGAACCATTTTACGACATTAACTCCCGCTACAATTATACACTTGTCTCACCACTCTACCGGCTTTGTTATACCTGAAGAAAAAAAATTCTTTACCTTCAAATCTAAGAAAACTTTGCACATCTGTCTCCCTTTCTTCGTTACTGCGAAATTTGACTCCACAAAAAGGAGAGCTAAGTGATAAGAAATCTGATGAAGCGAGATCTGGAGTGTAAGTCGGATGTGGTAGAACCTCGTAACCTAATTTTTCCTAATTTTTTCAGTATTTTTTTTATGTACACTGAAGTAGCTGTTGTAAATTCGCGACAGAGATGTCAATTTATGCGTATAGTCGATGGAAGCGATACAGCGAGGCCGTGAAATCGGTCACGCGTCAAAGTATAGTCGGTCGTATGTCGTTCAGGCGTCGAAATTTACATGTGGAAGCATATCGAAAGGCGAATCGACAGATATTCGAGAGAGTAGGTACTGAAAACCTGAGTCAAGGCTGCGTGAAGTATGTCTTAGCAAAACGTAAAATACCGCGATAGAAATATGACCAGAAAATGACTGAAAACCTGCATCGAAACTACGTGAAGTATACTTTAGAAAAATGTAAAGCACCGCGACAGAGATCCCAAAAAATGAAGAGGGAAAATCTGAGTGAAGAGTCCGGGAAGTGTACTTTAGAAAAATGTAAAGCACCGCGACGGAAATCCCAGGAAATGAGGATAGGAAACCTGAGTGATGACTACGTGAAGTATGCTTTAGAAAAATGTAAAGCACCGTGACAGAAATCCCAGAAAACGAGGACTGAAGATCTGAGTGAAGACTACATAAAGTATTCCTTAGAAGAGCGTAATTCAAAATGTCACTGCATCAATAGAAACGGCTACTTAACACATTCAACACCACAGTTCCATTAAACCATCTCCAAATTCAAGAATTAGTACCTCACACATCCATACCGCTAATAGCTACTACGTTACAACCTTCCTCCACAACCTCCCAATATCTCTTCCACCAACTATACATCTTATTCAAATATTTTCCAAACCAGACACCTCCGTCTCCTTGCTTATTCAACGACCCTCGTACCTACATACGACCATTCGTCGTCGAAAATACATGCAAAACGACGGAAGAACAAAGAATACTGGAAAAAGACTATCGAAAGATGTACAAATCCATTGGAAGAGGTGATCGGTCCGCAGACACAGAACCGAGGGGACCTGGTGTGTCGAACGAGTGCACGGAGGAACGAAAACGAGCGGTCACGAAGACAATAGGAGGGGTGATCTACGTCCACGCTCCTCCTCATCCTCCCGGTGGCATCAGCCGCGATCGTGCAAGCGAAGCTCCGGGCCGAACGTTATATAATTGTGGCAGATTACTTCCAGCGTTGGTCACATGCATGCTGCCGCACTCAACCGTGCGCTTACCAACGTTCACCCGCAGTGGACATTCGGTCACCGTACGACCTGAGCGTCGGAACCGCGAGGATGGAGCCACCGCGACGAGGAAACAGAGCGATCACGTGGAAACGCCTCAAGGATCTACTCCTAGATCTCCATCAGAACTCGGATCGTGTGTTTTACCGGTGAGTGCACCGATACTTCCGGGCTATATACATAAGTTAGATCATTTCTCCGTCACTTTCTATTTTTCCGTCGATATTCATACTTGTATAACAACATTCGTCTTTTTCCCTTTTCACCTGTGTATTCTTCTATGTTCTACGCAAGATCAACTTGCTTCCTGGTTGGATACTGAGACTGTATTTCTTCTCTTCGTACAGGCTTCTGCGAACGAATAAAATTGATCGTCACATTGTTCCCGTTTTTGTAGGATCGTTTCCTGGAATATACGCTTTTTCGCTCGATTAGCTTGCTCCTTTTTTGCCCCCGTCGCACGCGAAATCAGCTGTATGCAAATGGCCCGTCGGGAGGAAAAAATAGATCGGATGTCGGCAAATTGAGTATGATCGCGTTCTTCTGTCGGAAGTGCATTATCTCCGTTTTCGCGGTGCTCCTGACCGGCGAGCCGCGGCGTTCTGCATTGTCACCGAAACGCGTACCGTGTGTCGCATAGCTCGCTTAAATAACAGATTCCCTCGATTGCGAATTGTCATTGAGATGTACGTCCGTTAATGGTAATCTTATACGGAGAAGCTAATTGCTACGCCGGACAAAAATACGACGAGGACGTGTTTTCGTAAACAGCTGGTGAATTATTGGAAATGTTCTTGAAAAGAATGTCCTACGTATTCTACGTCGAAGTCTTCGTCGTAGCGAAGATCGATTGGATCGATTTAAAATCAGGATCGTACCACGCGCCTAAATGCCTGTTTTCAACGGGCAATTGATCGTGCCATGAAAAGTATAATAAATCTCGTTGAGAGATAATGGGATTAGCATGTGTGGTCGAGTTTTGGTAGCTCGAACCTTGTAGAATTTAATCCACTTAAGGTGAGATCATCGTGAACCCTCTTAATTAGCTGAATCAAGAATGCCCGCTTTCCACGAATTGGTCTATATCAACTGGAGACGGTTCCTCTGGCGCCACCTAATTCTCTCCACGAATTGTCTTCTGGTACCACTCTTTCTCTTCATATCTCTCCTATCGTTGCACTCCTTTTCAAACTCAAATTGGTCCACTTTTCGTCTGAACTTCTCTCCAATTAAACTAGCGATACATTTTTCTTTAATATCTTTTACAGCATTGTGAATCTTTGGTAAATCGAATTAGTTCGCGTTTCTTCTTACTCAGCTGCTCTAAGCAAACTATACTTCCGTTCAGGAGGATCCTTTAACGCTTAGCTCAGCAGTATATGAAAATGATCACTTCTCGAATGATAACGCTCGACTTTCTTCATTCTCGATAGAAGAACAATTTTTCAACGTGATCGAGAAAAGACAAATTTCGTATTCTTTCAGGATTGGCCTGAGTATTGGAAAGAGGCCCTGGTTATGGTTGTTGGTGGCGTTCTGCATAAACTGTCTCTGCGCGCCTGGGATGATCTTCTGGAAGGAGGAGCTCGACGACGTCGAGCTCTTCGTGCCCCAAGATTCCGTGATAAGGACAGACGCGGACTGGGTGAAGACACACTTTCGGGACGATTTCCGATACGAAAGTATCATCGTCACGGCCCCCAACGTTTTGGAGCCGGAAGTGCTGCGCTCGGTACATAGGCGATCATGAATTATACGAGTATCTGCGAAGGTTCTTTTCCACTTTAACGCATGATCCTTCTTCGAAAGATTCAATTAAAAACTCATCAGATTTACCCAGCACTTGGAATCTGTGAGCTGAACGCACGTTAAGTTAGACCGTTTCGTTAAAACCGTCCTGTTCCATCTCGCTTTCAGATCAGCAAAATTGAACAGGCTGTGAAGTCTGTGGTGGTGAAGAATAGCACTTGGGAAGATGTGTGCGCAGGGTAAGATCAATTCTCGATCGTATACGATAAGTTAACTCAGATAGCACACTTAGAGATCTTTAAAAAAATTTTCGATGTCCAAAAAATTACGTCTTGAAGAAATTTCTAAAGCCAACGCATAGTGATTTAGAGCGCACTTGGAGATGTCTACAAAATTATGTCTTCGAATGATTTCTAAAGCCAGCGCACAGTGATTTAGAGTTAAAACGTCTGAAAGACACCTCGATTTGTCTTCTTCTTCAGACGTCTTTCGAACATCTTTAAACTTCGTTAAGACGTTCAGAAGACGTCTGTGTGCTATCTGGGAGTAGTTCTCCTTGAATTTTAATGACGAATCTCGCGAAATTGAAGGTACTTCACGTGGTTCAACATGGACGACACGACGGACATCTTCAAGGATCTCGAAGTCACCGAGGACATTCTATACGAGTTGAACAGGAAAGTATTGAAAAACGGATGTATATATCAGTCGATCATACAACTCTGGGAGACAAGTTTAATGAAGAACGTTCATAATCTGACGAAGAAGGAGATCCTCGAGGATGTGAACAAAGCCATCAGACACAAGTAAATCTCTAATTAAAAAAAGTACATCCCATCCTTCGATTTATTACAGCAAATTTGTTGTAGGATCAACGACAACGTTCTCCTGGACATCGTTCCTCTGCTCTCGAGGATTTTTTACGACAAAAAAGGTCGAATTAAGGGTGCAAACGCGACGATCCTCAATTGGATGCTGAAGAAGTCTAATCCAAACTCGGCCGACTGGGAGTTGGAGTTTATAAATCGCGTTCTCCACTCGAACATCACGTTTCCACCAGGAATGGAGATATACGCGATAGCCTCGCGAAGTTACATCGACTCTTTGCATCAAATATTGAACAGTAACTTGACAGTATTATGTTGTGGGATATCTCTGATCGCGGTTTACGTGATGGCGATGATCGGTAAATGCAACGCGCTGGAGCAACGGATTTATTTATCAGTTATGGGAGTGTCTGTGGTTGGCCAAGCAATTTTGTCTTCTTACGGAGTTTGTTATTACTTGGGATATTCCTACGGACCGATACATTCTATTCTTCCGTTTCTATTGCTTGGTATAGGCGTTGATAATATGTTCGTGATCATGCAGAGTTTGGACAATCTTTCGGAAACGGATCAAGCTGCGGAGATTCCCATACGTATCGCTAAAGCTGTTCAACAATCTGGTAAACGAGGATTTATTTTGTCAAATTTCTTTTCTGATTGGATAGAGAGTACTTTTTTATTTTTATTTGTATTTTTAAAGGTATGTCAATCACGGTGACCTCTTTCACAAACGTAATCGCCTTTGCCTTTGGAATTACAACAGTGATGCCTTGTCTCAGATCGTTCTACGCGTTCGCTACGTTAGGAATTCTATTTTTGTACATCTACGAAATAATATTCTTCATAAGCTGTCTGGTGTACGACGAGAAGAGACTGGAAGCACGAAAAGATGGGTGTTTCTGCCGTCCGAAATTAAACTGGAAACCGAACGACTGTAGTCAGAGGAACACGCAGCAGATTATCTTTGAGAATTACATTGGTCCAGGAGTTACGAAGATCACGACGAAAGTGATTATTCTATTGATCACTGCCGGTTGCCTCTGTATTAACACGTGGGCGGTTTTTCAATTGGAACAGAATTTCGACCCTCTTTGGTACTTAAATCAAGACTCCTATCCGATCCAGTTTAACGATAAATTAAGACAGTATTTTCCTATGTACGGTAAACGTGCTGGAATTTATATGACTGGCGTCGATTACTACGAAGATCGTAAGTCTCTTAACAAGCTGGTGGAAGTACTCGGGCAAAATCAGTTCGTTAACAATGGCACCCTCGAGCCGTGGTTCATTGCCTATGAAAAATGGTTGAACACTACTAACAAAGGTGACGCTCAATTTTAATACTAAAATTGAAATTTTAATAGGTGATATTGAGAGTAAAGAGGAGTACTATAATATTCTAACAGAGTATTTGCTCCTGACAAAGGAGGGTCAGGCATACATTAAGGATATCCATTTTGATAAACTACCAGCTGGAGACTATAATATAACTGTATATTAAAAATTATTTGACATTCTAAGAAGACTATGTTCCCTTTTTGTTTATTTTTTTTTTTTTTTATAGACATCACAAATTCCTATACAACACATTATGATTAATACAGCGTCCGAGCAAATACAAGCGATGCAATCCATCAGAGAGACGGTTCAAGCTACGAATTTCTCTCAGGGTCTCGATTACATCGCTATATTTTCACCTGATTACGTTTCGTGGACAGCGAATAAAGTACAACGAAAGCCTTTACCATAATTTTCTTTCTTTGTTACAATTTTTAGTTGTTATTTTTTTACAGGTTATAGGAGAAGAATTGACACGGAACTTGTGCTTGGAGATACTGACAATCGGGATAGTGATCGTAATATTTCTTCGAAATTTACGAGCTTCATTCTGGGTGATTTGTTGCGTTTTCTTCACTCTTATCGACTTGTTAGGTGCTATGTATTTCCTAAATCTGACCATTGAAATGTCTTCGAGTATTATGATACTATTGTGCGCGGGACTAGCTGTCGATTATGCCGCTCATATGGGATTGGAATTTTTACGGACAAAGGGCAGCAAAAATGGTGAATGACAGTACAATTTAGCATATGAAATGAATGAATGGAGAGCGTATAATCCAGTTCACTCGTTATTAATTACCGTTTCAGAACGAGCAATAGCAACACTTTCTATTATTGGTCCAGCTGTGTTTAACGGTGGTTTAAGTACGTTCCTAGCGTTCGTTTTGCTAGGTTCTAGCGAGGCTTATCTTTTCAGTACTTTCTTTAAGGTGTTTAAAAGATATATACATAAAAAATTTCGTTAAAAGAGTGTAATTGAATTTTGTCGAAAATTACAAAACACTTTTACTGTTTCAGTTATTCACGTGTGTAGTGATATTTGGTCTGTTTCATGGACTATTATTTTTACCAGTAATCTTAAGCATATTGGGTCCTGAACAAGGAGTGGGTAAAGAGAAAAAAGAAACTGTTACAAGGGAACACAATGGATATTGTAATGTTCCTCTGTCACAGAGTAAGAAAGGTGATGTTATGACAAAAAAAAAAAGAAAGAAAGAAAGAAAGTTACTTGAAAATTATTTATTAACATTATTTCAAGTGTTTCAATAGTCTCTCTTTCTTTTAGATACTGCAACTAGAACTGCCAAATAAAATTTGACAATGTCTAAAAGACTGCTTAGATAAGTATTTGAATGCAAGAATTTAGAGTATGGATTGCAACTGCAAGAACAATGCACATGTACTGTAAAAAACAGTAGTTTGTACATTCTTTGTTAATCCAACCTTTTGTAAAAAAAAAAAAAAAAAAGAAAGAAATAAAAGAGTACCATTTGAAGAGTCATAACCTGGTAGTTATCTTCTCCGCCTACTTCTTACTTCTGTCCATTCACCTATGACTTCCATATCACTAGGAGTTTCTTTTTCATCTTCTGAACTGCCACTTTCCAGATGACAGGTAGTTTGAACCATATGCATTGGTTCACTTGTGAGAAGCCATGGCTGTAATGGTGGTATTTTCTCAAGCTCTGTCGCTAGTACATTTGCATTATTTTCGGTACAATAACGATGAAATTTCAATAAATCTTCTGCAACTTGTATTGCACTATCATCTTCAAGTTCTGTGATGAAATGCTCTTCCATATAATCTTCTAATTCGTTGGCAATCTCGCTACTAGTTAAATCTTCTAAAAAAGTATTACACAAAATATTTACAAAATAATTTAAATAAAAATATAAAAAGAGATAAATGAAATAACGCACCATTCATGTACATAACCTCTGTTATGTAAGGACAAAAATCTACTGCTCTTTCCTTCGGGCCCATTCTATGTTCTACTGCCATCTAAATACAAAATATTCAATAAAAAATAATGCGCCGTAGTATTATTTATATATACATATATTTTTTTGTAAATTTTAAGAAATAAATATTTAAAAATACCTAACGATCTTTACTAATAATATTAATAACAATTGTTAATCACAATTTTTTAATTCACTTCGTACGTACCGAATTGACAAATCGGCCATGTGTTTTTAACTTTTCGGTTAAAGTTAGGTTGATGAGATTAGGTTAGGTTTCACATTGTAAGATCGCTAGCAGTTTACATATGCTACAATTTTTTAATAGAAATGTGTTTCTGAGCGTCGTAAACGGGTTTGATCGGTATCACAAGGTAAATATTAATTTTCTTTGGTCGTAAATGTAAAAATTAATTTTTTCGATTTGTGTTCCACTAATTTTACGTTAAGTTATAACATGCAGATATTTCTCATACACTGATGTATATTTGTGTTAAACAATTTGTCATAAAGACATGTCAGACGCGTTCGAAGAGATTCAGGCTATTAAAATAAAAAGAAACAGTCTACGAGAAAAATTGCAGAAAAGAAAACGCGAAAGACATGAATTATTTACTCTTACTTCTGCAACACCAGTATCATCCACCTTGACAAGTGAATCACCTCTTGCCAGTGGTAATTGAATTATTTCAATTTTGTTAAGTGCTTCTATATATTTGGAATTCAAGTTTCAAATAAGTGCTAAAAGTGTAATATAACTATTTGTTAGACTCAATGGGACACTCACAACGATCTGACCATAGTGAATATGAAAGGGATGTGTTATGCATCTTACATGAATCACTACCTAATTTACCAATCACATCTGCAGAACTGATAGATCAACTACGTAAAAATCTTAATGCAGATGTGTCATCTTCAGATATTCACAAAATTTTAGAAAAGCTTGCAGCACAAGATATTGTTAAGTTAGTAAGTTTCTGCATTATCCCATATTTTAGTATCATATGCAAAGATGTTATTGAATGCCTTTTTAGGATCAAAGAGGTAACAGAAAATGGTGTTTTTGGATATACAGTATTATCAGTGGCAGAATCACAATCATCATATCAATCTCAGTCAGATGATACAGAAAATCCAGAAAGTGCAGAAACATCTGCATCTGAATTAAACGATTATGTGCCTGCAGAGAAGCAGCCTAAATTAGATAAAAAGAATACAGAAGATATAATGTCCCTTATATCAATGCCTACAATTAGGGAGAAGGAAAATAAAAAGGTTGGAGAGCAAATTTTAGATTTATTATCTAAGCAAACATCTAAAGAAAAATCATTGGCTGAAAGATTTCGGTCTCAAGGAGGAGCTCAGGTTATGGAGTTTTGTCCTCATGGTACAAGGGTAGATTGTGTTAAATTAAATGGTGGGCCAGGATTTGCAGAAAAATGCAAAAAACTTCATTTTAAAAAAATTATTCAAAGTCATACAGATGAATCTTTGGGTGACTGCAGTTTTCTTAATACTTGCTTTCATATGGATACATGCAAGTATGTATTCTGGACAAAACACTCTTTAAGTATAGCAAGGATTCACAATCTTTCCTTTATTTAAACATTTTATTACATAGGTATGTTCATTATGAAGTGGATGGACCGACAACTCAACCAAGAGAATCAAATGAAGCAGATAATGCAAGTAATAGTACAGTAAATAAAGGTTTAACAGTAGATAGTAAAAATGGTAGCAATACTGCTTGTCCAACTCCTAGTGGATCCTTAGGTAGTGAATTGACTCTTTATCCACCACAATGGATACAGTGTGATTTGCGTTATCTTGATATGACTGTACTGGGTAAATTTGCTGTTATAATGGCTGATCCTCCATGGGATATCCATATGGAGTTACCATATGGTACCATGTCAGATGATGAAATGAGGCAATTAGGTATACCTGCACTTCAAGATGAAGGTCTTCTATTTTTATGGGTGACAGGGAGAGCAATGGAACTTGGTAGAGAATGCTTGCAATTATGGGGATATGAGAGAGTGGATGAAATCATATGGGTGAAGACTAATCAATTGCAAAGGATAATAAGAACAGGCAGAACGGGTCATTGGTTAAATCATGGTAAAGAACATTGTTTGGTCGGTATGAAAGGAAATCCAAGAATTAATCGGGGTTTAGATAGTGATGTTATTGTGGCCGAAGTTCGTGCAACCAGTCACAAACCAGACGAAATCTATGGAATCATCGAACGTATGAGCCCAGGAACGCGAAAGATAGAATTATTCGGTCGACCGCATAATGTTCAACCTAATTGGATCACATTAGGCAATCAAGTAGATGGAGTCCACTTGATTGATCCTCAACTCATTAAAGCCTTTAAAAAACGTTATCCGGACGGAAACTCAATGAAGCCTAGTAAACCATAAGTATTTTAAAACCATGTAAAATAAGTGGATAATTATTTTATTACAAATGTTATGAGAATAAAATTGTGTTTAATAAAAATTAAATACAACTTCCTGTTCTTATTGTTATGTTCTCCTTCAAAATATTCGTAAAAAATAATTTCATTTTTAAATATAATCTATATAAATTGCATTTATAATTACATCAAGTGGTTACTTCTTCTTAATTTACAATTACTATCAAAAATATTTGTACAAATTTGTTAGAAATATTTAGTTCATGCTTTAACCAGCACGTGCTTATGTATTGTTACTTTCATGTTAGCAGCACCTCTATTATGCAATCATATATATGTATATACATATATATTTTACACTAGTACTAATTCTTTCAAAATGTGTCAATAATACATAGGTAAGTACATACACTAATATAAACTATGCTCTTTTAAATTGAAACTGGAATGCATTCATTAAAGCATATTGGGAATTTAACCATAGAAATTTAGTTACTTTAAAAAATGTTCTTCGTACGATTGATTTAAACATTTTCTAAGGACCCAAACCAGAATCTTATGCCTACTTATATATAGTAATACATGAGCATAAAAAAGGTAGTTCAAAATGAAGTGTAAAAATATTATCGCTAAACAATACCAGTGCTGTTACGTTTTTGTTTTAAAAAACTTCTTTTCAATGTCAATGAAAAATGATTTTCATTTATTTTATTCATGGACGATCTCGTAGATCGACTTTTCAATGGTGTCGACATTTGCTGGTTTTCCTTTTCATTGATATCAATCGCAGTTTCTAATGAATTAATATTGGTTTTATTAATTTTGTTAAATGAATCAATCCAATGCCTTTTTCCATGTCCATCTTCCGTTGCTAAAACGTGGTCTCCAATTTTAAATCCACCATTTGTATCAGATGTCTCATCTGCACTTATACAGATCTGTTCTTTGGGTATAACAGGAAAAGATAAATTGTATCTTTTATTTACAGATCTTGTACCACGAGTTATTGCAAAGCCAGTATCAAAAAGAAAACATTGAACTTTCTAAAAATCACAATTATAAATTTTTATACATTCATTCAATGAACATAAAATGCACCAAATATGTGCTTACCATTCCCCTTGTATCTTTAAGCTGGCCTTGAGTGATTAATTCTGTTGCATTTTCAATGCACTTAGTAGAATCATAGTCCAATTTTACATTAATTTTCGACTGAGCTAATTTGCACTCTGCATTTCCCATAATATTGTCTATATCAATAAGTAAGTTGGATATCAAGTCATAAGCCTCTTTTAAGGATGTATAATCTGTATGTGTTGTAGCAGTATGCCTTAGCATTTCTTTAATCAACAGGGGGTATTTAACAATTCTTGATCTTGCTACATCTATGTATGTCCATAAATCAATTGAGTGTGGAGATTCTAAACGTTTTTTTAAAAAAGATTGAAAACGTTTGTTTGTTAATCTCTTTTCATCTAATAAATGTTTTGCCCATATTTGTGTTCTGCACCTTTCTAAGTATGGTTTTGTTAAAGTTGGAATCTATAAAGATTATAACATAATTAAATTATCAGTCCATGATGATTATATTGAGTACTTAATCTTAGTCCTTGATTATAACTTACCCAATTTAATATTGTAGAACCAACAGTTTCTGTATATCCATATTGGTCTCTTAGATCAACCAATTCATTTCTTAATCTATTATGTATTTCAATGAGATGTGTTACACCACCGAAAAGTGTGTTTAATTCATCAGAATTAAAAATACCAGTGGGTACCAGTGGTTCATAGTAAAAGTCTTTGAGTACACTTAAATCATTAACAAGCACATTTTCTCCACAATATAATTCATAAATTGCTTCTTGTCTTTTCACTTCTTTTTTGCTTAAGGCATAATTTGGTCTATCTTTGGTACTTGTTTTTGCCACATCAAGTACCCAACTTTTAAGTGTAAAATTATTAGTGTTTTCAATCTTTTCCTTGTGTCTAACAAATAAAGTTAATAAATAAATATCATTGTAGCTATCAAAAATATATGTAATGTTTCATTCATACTTTTTCTTTAATGTTCCTGTATCTGTTTCATTATCCCCAAAGGATAAATCTGTGGTGTTTGGTTGAACTGTGAAAGATCTATGAAGTGTATTTCCTTGTTTGCTACCTAAAGTAGAAGAGGAAAAAATACTACTGGCCACTTCTGTAATTCTTCTTCTCTTTTTCTTTTTTCCCATATCTGATTCAATAGATATGTCCATTGAACTGACACTGATAGCATCACTTTTCGTACGTTTTCTTGACCGCTAATTTAAAATATTGCAAAATGTTACAATTTTAAAAACACAAATATTATGTAGAAGTATTAATTAAGCATTGGAAATTAAAATAATATATTACATGTCACCGATAATTTATTATTTAAAGTAAACATAAAAAATGGAATACTTAATACATGAAATCGAGGAAATTCAACAAATAAGAATGTCATTAAACGTTGGTTAAAATGACACAGGTTAATCACGCATGACTTAAATACTGCTGACAGTATATAAAAACTCACCAGCCAAAATTTTTTTCGAGGTTCTTGAAAAGCATCTTTGATCGTACTATTACTATCATCATACATTTCTCTTACTTTCAAACTTTCAAAAATTCATGTACAATTGAAATAGATACAGTTATTCATATTCCATACGAGGTAACCGTTGAACTACGCACATCTTTGAGAAAAACGATCCATCAGTACAAACATGGCAAACGTAAACTCTAGGATATTTTTCGAGTATCCTAGTATAATGATTCCTTTAGTTTTCACAGTATGTTTTGTTGTTATAGTATTCTTCATAAGGTAGGAAATGCTTTTGCATTAATTAAACATATAGACAGGCGTCGTTTTCTTGTTAGTTACCCCTACTTTTTATTTGAACGAACATAATGCCGAGGTATACACCAAATAAATAATGTTTAATGTTTTTTACACTTAGTATGCGTTAAAATATCTGTTTGGTTTTGATTCTTATTGAGTGGGAAACATAATTTTTATATATAATACTTTATCTATAGATATGTAATAGCCTCTTTGTTCAATCACGTACGTTTGAGAAAGAAAGAACGCTTGAATTTTAGTTCCAAACGTACAAATGTTTTGAATTTGTGCCGCCATATTTAAGTTGACATATTAACTAACATTTTACAACTAATTTAATTTAAAATCTGCACATTTTTATGTTAGTTTGAAAATAGATAGAGTATATTTTATAATTCGATAAAAGTAGCATCTTTTTGAAGACGTATATGTGTATTTATACACGTGTTAAATGAAGAGGTTAGGACAGGTAACTTATTGTTTAAAAACAATGTTGTATATTTATATTTATTACAAATGATTTTTTTCATTGGTGCTTTTAGAAAAACCAAGGAGCAGAAAAAGCAATGTCGTTCTAATAAGTCTGCTACAAAGCGAACTATGGATGAAAAAAGTAGAAAAAATACTCAGCGTATGATTCCACACACGGAACGAAATGCCTCCGGTCGTAATTGGGAGATATTTAAGAATTTAGTATTTAATGTTCCACCATTGAATTCAGACACTTCTGGTAAAGAGAATATTAAGAAAAAGTCATCTCCACCTCAAAAGTCAAGGAAGAAGCATCATCCATCTGTGGTGAATGGAGATCATGTATCATCAACTATTGAGGAAGAAGGTTTTGATGAAAATAAAAAGAAATTAACAAAACAGGTAGCAATGGATTGTGAAATGGTAGGCATAGGGGATGGCACTGAAAGTATGATAGCTAGAGTGTCTATTGTGAACCGGCATGGCTTCTGTGTATATGATAAATACGTAAAGCCAAGGGAACCTGTTCAAGACTACAGAACTGAAGTTAGTGGTATTAGGCCTCATAATCTTCAAGATGGAGAAGAATTTGAGGTTGTTCAAAAAGAGGTAGCAGATATTTTAAAAGGCCGTATTTTAGTTGGTCATGCATTAAAGCATGATCTTGATGTATTATATCTGTCTCATCCAAGGAAACACCTACGTGATACTTCTAGGTTTAAAACCTTTAAAAAATTATCTAGAGGAAATACACCTAGTTTAAAGAAGCTTACACATGAATTATTAGGCAGAGAAATACAGACAGGGGAGCATAATTCAATTGAAGATGCAACAGCTGCAATGCAATTGTATATGCTATACAGAAATAAGTGGGAGCTTGAATTCTATTCTACACGATAGTTTCAATTATAATAAATAATCTACCTCTTCCATTGAAGAATTCTAAATTCTGTGTATATATAATAAGGTTTTCTGTCATTTAATAGATATTTGTTTTAAAATTTCTATCTTTTAAGTACAAAATCGTGGGAAATACATACATACACGTTTATTTTATATAAAATAAGACTATTAAATATTTCCATTATTTTCATGATCATGTTTAACAAGGACCAATTCTCAAATTTTAAATCTCGAACTTCAGATCTATCTAATTGTAATTAAATGTGTAAATAGAATGTTATCAGAATGTAAAAAATTATATTAAAAGAAACTCTTAAAATATATTTCTTTTCCATATAGATCTTACGTGGCTATTTTATTTCACAAACACCCTGACACATCAAAAATGAAATTCTCGTCATACTTATGTAATGGAACCGTAAAAGAAGAAATCTTAGATGTTTCGTTATCACTGTTTCTTACGTGTATTCTACGAACACAACTTTATTAAGTGAAAACACGATTGTTACTGTAATAAATTCTCTCGAGTTCATTTTTATTTATAGAAAATACGTATGATACGAAATGACCCCTGTATCAAAATAAGTAACCCTTTGAACAATTCGACTGTTTATATATACTGGCACAAGAAAACATAAGTTATTTCGATTCTGTTTTCTATGTATTAAACATCATCTTCGTTAACTAGTTTACCCGTTACTGTGAGAAACATATAAATAGTATTGCATTTTTAATAATTAACACAATTTCCCTTGTGACTAGAAGTAATGTACCATTATTCTAAGCTAAATCAGAATTAAAGTAAAATATATACGTGTTGTATGTTAAACTTTGAATAAACATGAAAATCGCTGTAATTGGTGCTGGATCCGCTGGACTTGCGGCCCTACGACACTCTACATCTGATATTTTCGACAACGAAGTAATCTGTTATGAGAGAACAGCTCAGGTAGGAGGTACCTGGGTATACACAGAAGAATCTGGTGTGGATCAATATGGTTTGCCAATTCACACCAGCATGTATAAAAGTCTAAGGTAATATTTACAATGAACGAAGTCTCTTAGCCAACTATATTATACTATACAGTATTTCTATCATATAGAACGAATCTTCCGAAGGAAGTGATGGGATATCCTGATTACCCTATTCCGGATGTACCTGAATGTTTTATATATCGCACGCAAATTCTCGACTTTCTCAACTCTTATTGCGATCATTTTCAAATTCGACAGTATATTCGAGTAATTTACTTTCATCACAATGTATAATCAGTGTAGGGTAATAGTAACGGAAAGTGTATCTCTTTCAGTTTCTGCATAACGTTGAGTTAGTGAAACCGATAGATGGGGATCGCAAGTGGTTGGTCAGGGTAAAAGATTTGCGGAAGAATATTGTAACTGTTGAGTCGTTCGACGCGGTAATGGTATGCAACGGACATTTTTCTAACCCTAATATACCAGAAATAAAGGGTCAAGATATTTTCCAAGGGCAACAGTTACATAGTCACGACTACAGAGTACCTGAAGTATTCAGTGACAAAACGGTGGTCATTGTTGGCGCCGGTCCTTCTGGTAAATTAATCTCCATCATTTTTCTTTTTTTCTTTTTTTTTTCAAATTATCCAAATTATCGTTCTTAAAATTTTCTTATTAACGAAAAATCGCAGGATTTGACTTGGTATTGGAAATTGTAAAAACAGCTAAGAAAACAATTTTTAGTCATCATATACAGGCTGAAAATGGCATTCCTTTTCCCGCCAATATCATTCAGGTGACTGATATGAAAAAATAAAGAACATACGTAAAAAGAAAAAGAATTATTCTGTTATTTAAATTTTTAATCTTTTAGAAACCAGATGTGAAAGAGTTAACCGAAAGAAGCGTTCTTTTCGAAGATAGCTCCAGCGAATCGATCGATGCAATTTTCTACTGTAAAAAAGATCGTAGGATACAAGTACAACTTTTCCTTTTTGGACGAAAGATGCGGGGTACAAGTAGACTCAAAAATGGTAACGCCATTATGGAAGCACATTGTGTCGATCGAAAATCTTACACTTGCTTTCATCGGCATTATATCTCATGTTTGTGCTTTCAACGTGTGGGATGTACAAGTAAGATTACAAAAAAAAAAACCAAATGGTTTTATACTCTTTAAAGGGAACTTACAATTTTTCTTTTTTTTTTATCGAAGGTACGATTTGTTCTGCAATTGTGGAGCGGCAAGAAGAAATTTCCCTCTAAAGAAGATATGTTGAAGGACGAGAATGAAGAATTGAAAAGTCGTACGAACGAGGGGGTCCCTAAGAAATACTTCCACGTGATCAAAGATAGACAACATGTCTATCTGGAAGATCTTGCAAAAATTGCAAACATTAAAACGTTTCCTCCAGTTATTTCGAATATCTTTGTCGATTGTTATACGCGAGTTTTCAATAACATATTAGAATATCGAAACGCCAAGTACAAAATTCTCGACGAACATAACTTCGTTCGATTAATTTAGTTTAACACGTTCGCTACCGTCGATTGCAGCATATGCGTTCCAGAATGTATTGTCCAGCGTGCTGTCGATCTTCACATGGCAACGAACGTGTTGATTTAGAAGAAAAATATTCTAATTGAACATGTCGCAATGTGTTTGAATAAGAAAGATATCTACTAAGGAACTTGATTGTGTGCAACGCTGTTATCTGGTAAACTTGAAAGATGCTGCAACGACGTTAAGGCCATTCAGCGTTGTTATCGGTCTTCGACTTTTTTTTATCTGTGAAATGTTTGGAATGAAAACACGATAACAAAAGAAAGAAAAAAAGTGTGAAATATAAATTGTCGAAACTACTGTTCCAAATACATAATACCATTGCTTAGAACGTATTAGCTGTGTACTTTTATCTACAAATCCTACACTTTACCTATCTCGAAAAGATATCGTTAAAAATGATAAAGATCGTGAAGAATATATTCTACAACTGACTATGTCATTTGTAAATTCTTGAAATTACAGACGATTCGGTAGCACGAGGAAAGCTATCGTCTGCGGTATAGTTAGAAATACATTAACCATTTCAGGGTTAATGCAACCGATCGAGAGACTTTCATGGAATTGCACAAGGCCGTTAATTGTCACTACTTCCTGTAGCATGAATTTTACAGGCTTTAGTTCCTTATACAGCAAACGTATAAAATACACGACGGCCTTGTTATCAGTAGCAGCCTCCATTCGTACGATACACTTCGACTTTCCTGATTATTTCACGATCGTTCATTTCGTATTTCTTCACTGACTGCAATACGTCGGCTACTCCGTCTGGCGAAACCAAACCGCACACGGCTATTTCTCATTTTACCCATTCGTGAGTAAAAAAACACACACACACACACGCACGTCTAATTAACATAACTCGAATTTCGCTACATCTGAAGAAAATTTTAGCTAATCCACACATATTCACATCGTTTTACTTTCTACTTAGTTTCATCGAGTCGAGTGTGCTTAATGTAAATATCATGCCTTTTGTTAAACATGTGAAAGAACGAGTGTAGACGTATATTAAAGAATTGATTATTTACCAGTATATAGACACCTTTCAGTATTCCATCGGAAGGTTTTTCGCGTAGATAAAACCATATGCTTTCGATATGGTATTCGACGCGGGAAAGTCACGCAATAGCAAGGAAAGTGTTACTATACGAGAGAAAAAGAAAAAAAGGAATGCCCGTGTTCGTATAACTTTCAATCGTTGCACCTTTCCCATTTGTAACTCGACCGTGTGTACCAGCGCGTTACGAGATATCGATGACGATTCAATTCGTGCTTTTCCATGTACCGTACGAATTTTCTATTTTTCCAAAATCAACAAGTGACAACAGTGTTCGAATCGTGTGATTTATTCTTAATCTATCCTACACTCGAACGTTTATCGAACAATCAGAACACAGAACGACGCGAAAGAGAAAGAAAAATTATAAGAGAGTTATCGAGAGTAAAAAAAATCGCATTTTTACAGATTTCGATAGAAACCCTAAAACCAGTATGAAAATCGCTGTGATCGGTGCTGGATCCGCTGGTCTCGCTGCCCTACGACACTGCACTTCCGGTACATACGACACTGAAGTAGTATGCTACGAGAAAACAGATCAAGTAGGCGGTACATGGGTTTACAGGGAAGAAACTGGTTTCGATCGATACGGTTTACCGATACACACTAGTATGTACAAAAATCTAAGGCAAGTTATATCTGCAAAGAGATGTGAAATTTATATTAAACTGTTGTTTTTCAGTATTATTTTATCTAAGGGTATGTGTGCATCTGAGAGACTTTTACGATAGTTTCTCTCGAGAGTATAGTCGGTGGAAGCGACACAGTGAGATCGTAGATTAAAGCATTAAACCAGGGTGGTCCATCATTTGTCAATTTATACTTAAAAGTTTCTGCTTACAATCTTTCGTTTAAGCTACACGGTATTAAGCCTCTGTCGCCTTCTGTTCGATAGTAATTCGCGTATTGGTAACAATTAACCTGCAGCTGTTAACGATTAAGACGCAGAAAATTGTTTTAAATATAGTGCAATGGAAGAACCAATTTTAAGTTGATTCCTTATAATGTGCGAATTGCTAATTTTACAATCTCTCTACATTTCGTCCACCGGCTACATACTGATTTTAACTCTCGAGAGTCGCCCACTAAATAGAGAAAATAGAGCAAAAGTTGATAATCCGAATTTTCCTTGTAACTACTCTCCTGGTTGAGATACAGGGTTGAAACTTGGTGTCAAATATTTTTTTTCGATAAGCCATGGTCCATCGCAAGAATAATTTAGTTCAAGGGCACGTTTGATTCTCACATCCGACTTTGACTCTCGAGAGCAACTCGCAACTTTATTCTCAAATGCACACGTATCCTAATATTTAATAGTGCATTCGATTCTTTGTACCATACAGAACGAATCTTCCTAAAGAAGTGATGGGATACCCTGATTATCCAGTCTCGGACACTCCTGAGAGTTACTTGACGCGCTCGCAAATACTCAACTTTCTAAACTCATATTGCGATCATTTTAATCTTCGCAAGCATATTCGGGTATTATATCCCCTTTTGTTTTTAATATATTATACTGCATATTTTGCATTGGATAGGAAATATTGGTAGGTTCACTTTGCAGTTCCTCCATAACGTTGAATTAGTGGAACCATCGTCAGGTAGCCGGAAGTGGGAGATCAAAGTGAAAGATCTGGCGAAAAACACGATCCTAGTAGAATCATTCGACGCGGTTATGGTGTGCAACGGTCACTACTTCCAGCCTAGTATGCCAAATTTGAAAGGTCAGATGGATTTCAAGGGAGAGCAATTGCACAGCCACGATTACAGGGTTCCAGATATTTTCATCGATAAGGCTGTAATTGTTATTGGCGCAGGTCCTTCGGGTACGTAGTATTACGTCACGCGATATATGTTTCTACATTCTTGATGGGTGTTACAGGAATGGATTTAGCATTGGATATATCGAGGAGAGCGAAGCGTGTGTTCTTAAGTCACCACTTGAACGATCCTATCGGTACTGTATTTCCTGATAACGTTATTCAGGTGAATATCTTTAATCAAAAAAAGAATGGAAAAGAAAAATGTGAGTACAAAGATGAAAGATTTTCTGGAATTTTTTTTTAGAAACCAGATGTAAAAGAACTCACTGAAAACGGTGCTCTCTTCTCTGATGGAACGAACGAACAAGTGGATGTGATTTTCTATTGTACAGGTATATTTGTTAAGAAATTGGTTTAATTGTTAAAAAATAATCTTATTGGTATTTTTCATTTGAATTCGAAGGATACAAGTACAGCTTCCCCTTCTTGAGCGAAAAATGCGGAGTACGTGTAGATTCCAATATGGTGACACCGTTATGGAAACATCTGGTATCGATCGAAAATCCCACCCTCGCCTTGGTCGGTCTTCCTTTTTATGTTTGCGCTTTCAGCATGTTCGATCTGCAGGTGTGACTCAAATGAAAATTGATATTACGACGAAAGCATATTTTTTCTTTACGGTTTTCACGTGTGACTCATTGTACTATTGATCGAAGGTTCGATTCGTCCTGCAATATTGGTGTGGCAAGAGAGACTTTCCTTCTAAGGCGGACATGTTGAGAGAGGAGGCGGAAGAGTTGGAAAAACGGAAGAAAGAAGGCCTGCGTAGAAAGCACTTTCACATGATGGGATTCAAACAGGGCGATTATTACAACGATCTTGCCAATACCGCTGGAATCACACCGTTGCCTGAAGTTCTAACCAAATTGCACAACGAGAGCAGTATGCAATTCTTGAATGATTTAGTACACTATCGAGAAAATAGATACAAAGTCATCGATGATTATAACTTCATTCAACTTTGATACTGCGTATCTTGTCGACGATGCGAAATGAAATATGACGATTGACCGAGTTTACGTAAATGGTATAAAGGTATTTCGTGCTCAATAGATCCAATTATAGCGATTACATAAGACGGAGTGAACACTGCCACTTTTTTTTTCTATTTTACAATGTCAATGGTGAAATTGTGATAGATGAATTACACAGACAAATATTTTTTGTACGATGCAACAGTGAATTGTAAAAAGATATTTACCGTGTGAAATTTAGTCGTAACCCTTCCACTCCTCGATATAAATAATATTTTTATGAATAATGCATTTTACGATTGAATATCGCGCCATGAACTAGTGCATGATCGAACCGCAAGATGATGCCTGTATGCAGCCGTTGGTTAAATGCCTCGGTTGCGTGCGGTGCAGTGTTGTGTGTGATGTAGCTGTGCTACGAGCGCGAGTACGTTTCACTCCATTATCATTTCGAAAATGATGAGCATTTCCGCGGTCCCGAAGTGATTCAGTGCCGAAATATTTCAGCCCGTTTTTACGGCTGAGCCACGATGGTTGAATCAATCGGGAATTGTACCGAGGGAAATCAGTGTAAGTAGATCCGTTGGAAAAAAACTATCTGCGGAATATATGTTTTCCTAGTCCGTGCTATCGTTATTTTCTACTTGGTGAATTTCGTGCAGCCGCAATCGTGCATGATTCAACGAGAGAGATGGAAAGTAAGGTTTTAACGTAGGAGAGAAAAGCAGAGACCCATAGACGGGTCTCTCACCGCGACAAAAAGCTTTATTTACGTCGAGAATCACGACGTTACTTTTCTAGATAGAAAGTTGCATTCAATGATGCGCGATATGTGGGCTACGCACAGGCTCTCTCGGGTGAATGCATTCGTAAGAATGCATTCACGTCCGCCGTGTGTCGTGTTCCTCTTCTACTTTATGTAATTTTACTACGGACACCTGTCCGTCAGGATCCGGAGTATTGTGTGAGTATCGGCGTACTGGCGATGGTGCGACGAAGCGAGCTGTGTACGCCTTACTGTCAACGTTTCCGTTCCCCCTTATCTGTCAGATGTTTGGAATATACGATAAGGGAGAGTTTTCGGTTGTCGGAAGACTACCGATCTGGATAACGCGATTACTAGCTGCGCGTAACTAATCCTGAAGGAACGTAGAGAATGCCTTAGAACGTCGCGTGAAATGTGTCACAATTCATGAAATATAATCTGTAATTCTGATACAGTATATCGTTACCGACGGTATCTCGTGTCTGTTACAAATATTTTCTGTACATTTCTTTTACACATCATTGTTTTATAATGTCTATTGTGTAAATTAAAGTTGTCTATTATTAAGTGAAATGTAAAGTGCCTTATTGGAAACCAATAAATTAAATACTAAAAAAAAATTAATATGCATTTGTAATTGCTTGGGCTTAATTTTACTATCATTTAATAGGGTACTAAGGTGGAGCTAAAGGAATTATAAAATGGCTACAAAAACAGAAGACACAACATCTATTGATAATACCAATGATGGTACAGAAATAATCTTTTTCCATTGATTTTATGGATATAGGTATGTGTGTGCCCCATGTTGTTACAGTGTGTGTAATTGCAGGAGAAAGCATGGACAAGGAGGTATTAGCAATTAGTGGAAATGATGAAACTAGTCATCGTATTCCACCTACATATTTGTATAATTCAGGTTCTGAACAAAATATAGGAATATCCAATCAGGAGCAAAGCAATAGAAATCGTACTCAAGCTACAGAAGATCAATTGGGACCTCTGCCACCAAATTGGGAGAAAGCTTACACAGATACAGGAGAAGTTTACTTTATAGAGTATATATGATATAAATTACTCACTACTGAGAATAGATTACACTTGTTAAACAATTATTTAATTTACTTCTCTTTATTGATGATTACTTCACAGCCACAATACAGGTACTTCTCACTGGTTAGACCCAAGATTATCTAAATTTCAAAAAAGATCTCTTGAGGAATGTTTGGATGATGAACTACCTTATGGTTGGGAGAAAATAGATGATACTCTCTATGGTACATATTTTATTGATCATGTAAACCGTAGGACTCAATATGAAAATCCTGTCTTGCAAGCCAAGCGGGCACAACAAAGTATAGGAGAAAGGAAGAGCCCTAATTTTACAAGAAATCCTGACAAATTGAAAGGTCAGAGAATAAGAACAACCTTGATAAAAAGTTCAAGAGGGCTAGGATTTACAATTGTTGGTGGAGATGACTCAGTAGAGGAATTTTTACAAATTAAAAGTGTGGTACCAAATGGTCCAGCATGGTTAGATGGAAAATTACAAACTGGTAATACACAAGTCATAAAAAGAATAATTTCTTACCAAGATGATAGCCCTTCAAACTGGAAATATTGTTACAGGAGATGTCTTGGTATATGTCAATGATACCTGTGTCTTAGGTTTTACACATAATGAAATGGTAAATGTTTTTAAATCGATTAGCAGTGGTGAAACTGTTACGTTGGAAGTATGTCGTGGTTACCCATTGCCATTTGACCCAAATGATCCAAACACAGAAGTTGTTACTACCATTGCTGTCAATGCACCAGGTAAAAATCTTATTAAATAATAGCATATTCTTGCTAGAAATATAAATTTTATTTCCTCAGATATTTTAACAGAAGATCCCAGGATGTATATGGATCTAGACCCTGCTTTGCAAAGTAATGGTCGTTTTAATTTTCTGGATGCTACATTCTTGCCAGTACATAGTCTTCAAAATGGTGAAAACCTTGCCACAACATCAGTTAACTCAATGCCAGATCTTTGTATTTCGGATAAAATTAATACGATCAAAAGACCTAGCAGTACTGATATCCTACTGTCTGAAAGCAGTGATTTAACTGACTGTAAAGATTCGTCGATGTCTTCCAAACCGGAATTTCTCAGCATTGCAATTGTAAAGGGCACCATGGGATTTGGATTTACAATAGCGGATTCTGCTCACGGTCAGAAAGTGAAAAAAATTTTAGATCGTCAGCGTTGCAAAAACTTAATGGAAGGAGACATTTTAGTCAACATAAATGACGTTAACGTGAGGAACATGTGTCACTCAGAAGTAGTACAAGTTTTAAAAGATTGTCCTCGCAATGAAGAAGCATTGATACATGTACAGAGAACAACGTCAAAGTCGAATGAAAAAAAAGAAAAAAATTCACAGGATTTCTTTAGAAGTAAAACACCGACAGCTGATATTTATAGCACTCAAACAAAGACTGTCGTACCAAGTCGACCAAAAACACCACTTATCGATACCAGAAGTCGCCCAAAGTCCCCGACCGGTGCGATCAGATCGAATTGGAACGAACAAAGCGAGAACGAACTAAATCCACTCGATAATCGATACAAATACTCAGAATACACGCATGGCATGTATTACAGTGACCCGTATAAAGCAAATATTACAAATTTATCCGACAACTTTGCTACAATGACGAATTTAGATGATGATTCCGTAAGAAATAGCGCAAAACGGGATTGGGTTACCAGTGACAAATTAAATATAAATAACGATGTATATTCTATCGATATACCTCACCACGACAACATGTTAAAGCAAAACGGATGCTTGCATTCAGATTACTATAAAGATTTATATACATCGCAATCTCATTCTCAATATAGTGAACAAGATTATAATGTATACTCTATTGGTCAAGAACAAAATGTTGATACTGGTGAAATATGGGATAAACGAAAAGAGACTACTAGTTTTGAGCATGAGCAACCACATTCCAGTTCGATACCACGGTAAATATTCTGAATTCATTAAGTCTAATGAACTCGGAACTTCGTTAAAATATAAAAACTATTACTAATGTTTTAGGTATCCTCAGTATAGCAACGAGTTAGTATGTCCTATTGTGCCTGATATAGAATGGATAGAAACATTGGTAACTCTGGTAAGGCAAGACACGGGGTTTGGATTCAGAATAGTTGGTGGTACCGAGGAAGGATCTCAAGTGAGTTAAAATGTTGCTAATATATTCGATTAAGGGAAGTCAAAAATATTGATAATGTAATTGTCAGCAGGTTTCAGTTGGACATATAGTACCTGGTGGTGCAGCAGACTTAGATAACAGGTTAAATACAGGTGATCTAATTATGTCCGTCGATGGTGAAAGCGTTATGAATTCGTCACATCATCACGTTGTCCAATTAATGATAGCCGCCGCTCAGAATGGTAGAGTCACTTTAGGAATTCGTCGTAGAATTAACACTCAAGAACATCTTCCAGAAAATCTTCAAGCTCCATATAATAGACAAATGAATCTCCAATATCCTTACGATGTGACGGTCACTAGAATGGAAAATGAAGGTTTTGGTTTCGTTATTATTTCTTCAGTTAATAAAGCCGGTTCGACAATAGGTAGAATAATTGAAGGATCACCTGCGGAAAGGTGCGGACGACTGAATGTTGGGGATCATATTCTTGCAGTCAATCATGTAGATATTACAAATGTTTGTCATAAAGACATTGTGAATTTAATTAAAGACTCAGGTTATTCTGTTACTTTGACAATTGGGTATCCTCTTGATGATTGTTGTAGTAATACATCTCTATCTCAAAAGGTATTACTTAACTTTGAAACAATACGTAATAGTAATATGTAATCTAATATAAATACAATATCAAATAAATTACTATAGGATGAACCAACATGTGATGGAGATGGAGGTCAATATCATGCTGTTGAATTAACTCGTGGGACCAGAGGATTTGGTTTTAGCATTCGCGGAGGGCGAGAATTTCAAAATATGCCATTATTTGTTTTACAAATTGCAGAAAATGGTCCAGCATCTATTGATAATCGATTAAGAGTAAGTAAACCGTTACGAATATGTAATAATTTATGGCATAAATAATTTTTATGAAATTATTAGGTTGGAGACCAAATAATTGAAATAAATGGAATTAATACGAAAAATATGACACATACAGAAGCTATTGAAATAATACGAAACGGTGGACCATCCGTTCGACTGTTAGTTCGACGCGGTTGTCAGATGCCTTCAGTGGTAGGTGCTCCTCCACACCTCTACGATATGAATATATGAAATTAACCATCCTAAATAACAACATATTAATATTAAAAGCATTAACGATATTTACTTCTGCAAGTGACGATACTAATGCT